CCCGAAAACCCGACCGGCTGAGGAGGGCCGGAGAGGCCTTGGCCAGAGCGAGGGCCCCGGGAGCCCAAAGCCGAGGCTCCGCTCGGAAGACGCCGCCTTCCAGAGCCTGACCTGCGGGAAGAACTTTGCACAGAGGGGCAAGCTGGCCGCCCACGGGCAGAGCCGCCAGGGCCAGGGGATGCCGTCGCCGTCCTGAGGGCCGCGGGGGGGAGAGGAGAGCGCCGGAGAGGCGGCCGGCCGGAAAAGAAGGCGCCTTGAGAGTGGTCTTGGAAGCCGGAGGCCCGCCTGGCCTGCCTGGGAAAGGAGAATAGAGGAAAGTGGGGGACGGGCGTCCTTCCCACGGGAACGTGGCTGCCACGGGGAGTCCCCTGGCGCTGTAAGAACTGGAGTCCCATTGTGCGTGGGGCCGGGGGGGGGTCTCTGGGGAACCAGGCTGGAAAGGACCCTTTCTGCTCCAAAGTCGCCCCTCCTCATCCCATTTCAAGCTGGGATGGTCGGGGGGGGGGCAGCTGTGTAAATGAACTCTCCTCCCCTCCCCCGTGTATCCTCCCCTCCCCTCTTCTGGCAGCAAAGTTGTGTTCCTTCATTTGTTGGTTCCCACCGGTTCCTACGTGGTGTGACGTCCCAGCCGTTTCCCACGGTTGATGCTTCCTTTCCTTGCCTTTAAGGCAGTGGTCTCCAACCTTGGGCCTACAGATGTTCTTGGACTTCAATTCCCAGAAATCCTGGCCAGCAGAGGTGGTGGTGAAGGCTTCTGGGAATTGTAGTCCAAGAACATCTGGAGGCCCAAGGTTGGGGACCAATGCTTTAAGGGATGAACGTGCCGATGTTTCTCTGAGCTTTGTTTAATGGCTGGGATAATTTCCCTGGACGGGCGTCCACCTGGAAAAGCTGCAGGCATCCCTGTGGCATCTCGGTCGTCCTTAGATGGGGGGGGAGCAAAGCAGAGGGGCGTCAAAGGCATAGGGTGCCCCCTTGGGGCTTTGGGGTGTGAGCGGTCAGAGAGAACTATTTGTTTGCTTCATACGAAATGGTGGGGCCATTTCTTCTGCTCTTTCTTCACTGCTTCTTGAGGGTTTGAGCCAGCAAATCATCATGCGTTTGAACAGACACAGAGCCACCAATCCTTGTCCACCTTGAGAAAAAGCCAGTCTGCCCAACATCCGTTGGTTGGAGAGGTCCTGTTACCTGCAGGGAGTTTGCAGACAAGCAGGACTGCCTTCGCCGGCTGTTGGCACCTGATGTCCGGGGGGGGGGGAAGAGAGATGGGGGGGTCTTCCATGAGGATGTGCGATTCCCAAGGGCTGAACCGCTCTGAGGGTTCTCGGAGTCAGTTACTGCGTGAAGCCTGCAGGCTGCGGAGGCAGAAACTGTTGGGGGGAAGCGCCTGCATGGGCGCCAAGCAAGCTGGATTTGAGGAAGGGGGTTGAACAGGGAACCGTTTGGCCTGTAAGAGAATCAGCGTGGCACACCCAGGGCTGCAGGAGAGGCCTAATCCAGAACCAGCTTTTTACACACATCTGTGCCCGTTTGCTCCACTGACCCAAGTCAAGTCTTCAGCACCAGTCATTGTGTTATTCAGTTTTCCTCCTGGCTATTCCCTCTCCAGGCGTCGCCTTGTCTGCTGTCCGATGGGTTTGTCCTTGGCTTCTTTCTGTCTGTTACCAAGCTGGGCAGTTAACAACATATTGACCAGAATCCTGTTTATGCACCTCTCTGTGTGTAAGGCTGATAACATCCTCAGCCTTATGCATGTGGTGCTGCAGGAACAGGATTCTGGCCATTACACATGCCAAGTTGCTCATTTCTAAGGAGATTTCTTTCTGACTGTCCACAAATGATTGGAGGTTTCTGTGAGAGCAGTAGCCCCTCTGCCCCATCTCTCCAAAGACAGGGAAAATGAGCCTCTTCCCTTCCTCCGGGGCCCTCTGGGTCTGCATGAGAGGTGGGATCACGAGCGTTCTTGGACTGCCACTCCCAGAGTTCCATAGGCAGTGTGGGTATGAACCAGGTGAGCCAGCTGCGGTGTTCTGGGAGACGTCGTCCCCGAGGGTGGGGGTTTCTGGGCCAGGGCTCTTTTGGGTCTTCGGAGGCCGTGCTCTGGACCCACGGTGTAGAGATTCCTGAGGAGGGGCCCATGGGTGTGCCTCGATGGGGAGGCTCGCCTTGTGTACGCGCTACGAAGCGGACGTGGCTCTGATCTGATTTCCTCCGGTTATACTCATAGAATTAGAAAAGATTTCTGGTGTGTTGGAAGGAATGGACGGTGGGTGGGGTGGGGGGAATAGAGAGTCTATCTCTTGCCTTTCCATGAGATGGGGCCTGCTCAAGTGTCGAGGGACGGGGCCCGCTTGGGCACAGGCAGGGAGGCAGGACCACACATCAGGCCAGGGCAGCGGGAGACTTACCTGCACGGGAGAGGTGGACCCCCGCAGCCCAGCCCAGCCCAGCCCAGCCTTGCAGACAAGACAGGTCAACCCCAGTAGCCAGCTCTCCTGACTGAACGTTCGCAGGAAGGGTTTCCACGCTGGCTGGGAAAGCGGGAGGCCTCTCCCCTGGGGTCTACTTGGGCGCACAAACGCCTAGCCTCTTGGCTGGCTAGCTGGAAAAGCCCCACCCCACGTGCAGCCCCACGGATGGCAGAGGAGAGGTGGCGTTCTCCTTCCCTCTTCTGGCAGCCCTTCCGTGGCTGACGTTGCAGAAGAGAACCTCCCACCGCCACGCCACCGCCCTGCTGGCTTCCTTTACGGGAATTCCTGCTTGCCTTGGAACTTCCCCGTCGTTTGCTTAATTCAGGGATGTTCCGCCTTAATTGGGGCTCCTCAAAGCAGTCCCGGGAGGGCAGGATCCAGCACCTCGCAGGGCCAATGGTGGTTTCTGTGAGTGAGGTGGTGGAGGAACCGGGCCAGGGGGCTGCTGGATCCTCTTAGATTTCTTCCCACTCTCTTGTCTTCCTTTGGCACCATGATCTCTGGGGGGAGGCCCCAGTCTGGGCCTGATGGGGTTCACAGGCTGGTTCCCCCAAGACTGCCCCTCCTCCCTCCTGCAACTGCTCTCCTGGAGGGGGTGTGACAGCCGCTTGGATGGAAGAGCTGCAGCTTTAGGGTGAATGGGAAGCAGCGTTCGTTTGGGGAAAGGGACGGGGTCCGCGGGAGTGGGGAGCACAATCTTGGTCTTCCCCATGAGAATCAGAAGCCCCTCTGTGGAAGACGTCTGGGATGCTAAGTGTAATGCTTCAACGATGCACCTTATTCCCTTCCCTCTGGCTTGAATCTCCCTCTTGGTTGAATAAAATTGGTCTTCTGCTTTGTTCACTGCTGGTCCTGTCTCTGAAATGGGTGGGAGCTGGATCCAGACCAGCAGTTCAGCAAACGGGGGAGATTGGACTCTGACGAGGAGACACTCCCTGGCCGCTGATCCTTGGTGGGGAGATAGAGGTTGGCCCCCAAGGCAGAGCCTGGTCCTCAGGACCTCTTTCCAGAGCGATGCGGAGCGAATGCTCTGGCCTGGGTTTTGCCTTGTGTGCCGACAAAGCCAACCGCCTTCCAGCCAGTTGCCCAACAAGCCCTTAAGGTGCGTCAGCTCCTGTGAGGTTCCCACAGGGCGCTGCGGGAGGTTTCACAGGTGGATTCAGCTGCAGGAAGAGCGTGGAGGCATCCTTCCGTCTTGAGAGACTATGGGAACGTGCTCTGAATGGAGGACTTGGAACAGCGTCTTGTGTGGCTGAGAAGGCCAATGCGAGAGTGACAATCCCTTTCACACAAATCCAATCTGTCCCCTGACCAGCTCCTTGTTTTGGCTGGTGTCGGGACTGCCTCTTGGCCTCGTCCTGCTGGACGAGTGTTTCTTCAAATTGGGAGAGGCCGTGATGCACCGCCTGTCTCCAGGCTGAACGCTCAGATGTCAGGGTTTCCCATCTGTTGAGGTCCATTCCTAAGGCCTTCAGATCCCGCTTGCAGATCTCCTTGTATCGCAGCTGTGGTCTCCCTCTGGGGCGATTTCCCTGCACTAATTCTCCATACAGGAGATCTTTCAGAATCTGGCCATCAGCCATTCTCACAACATGCCCAAGCCAACGTAGACATCGCTGTTTCAGTAATGTATACATGCTGAATATTCCAGCTCCTTCTAGGACTACTCTCTTTGGAACTTTGTCCTGCCAGGTGATATATGTGTTGACGGAGGCAACGCATATGGAATGTGCTCAGCTTTCTCTCCTGCCGTGCACAAAGGGTCCAAAGCACCCACTGCAGTCCAGGATTGTGCTCAGGACACAGGCTCTATAGACCTGGATCTTGGTATATGCTGTCAACTTCTTATTAAGCCATACTCTTTGTGAGTCTAGAGAACATGGTATAGTAGCTGCTTTGCCAGTGCATTTATCCAGCACGATATCTAGAAAGAAAGTGTAAGAATGTTGAGCCAAGGTACAGGAAGTCATGAACAACCTCCAGTTCTTGTGCGGAGATGGTAATGGAGGTGAGTCCACAGCCTGGCCATGACTTGTGTTTTCTTCAGGCTGATTGTTAGTCCAAGGTCTTGGCAGGCCTTGTTAAAGCAATTCTTATTGGAGCTCTTCAGCAGAATGGGCAACAATAGCTGCATCATCAGCAAAGAGGAAGTTCTGCATGCATTTCATCTGGACTTTGGTTTTAGCTCTCAATCTAGAGAGATTAAAGAGTTTTCCATCTGATCCAGTCCAGAGAAAGACACCTTCTGTTGCAGTTCCAAAAAGTGTGCTTCAACACGACAGCAAAAAAGATCCCAAACAGAGTCGGTGCAAAGACAGAGGCCTGTTTCACTCCACTTCGGATGTCAAAGGGATCTCATGTTGAGCCATCAGTTGTTTTGAAAGAAACGGGTGTTCCTCAGCCCTTGAATGACCTGATGCTTAACTTGTCTTGTGCACAAGAGCTACCAAATGTAGGTTATACTTTTATTAAACCACCAAAAATCAACCATTCAGTGCAAACTTTTGTGAATCAAATGCACTTCATCAGGTGTAAGGTAGAAAAATGATGAATGAAAGTCCCAAGGTGGTCACGGCAGAAGAGGAGATCGGCCAGGTTCCTTGCTTAAGGTGAACTAAGAGTTGGGTCAACCATTTTTTGGGGGAATGTTCTTAAAGGCCTCCCACCTGGTGCCACAGGATTGGAATTCCCCTCTCCACCTCGAGGATAGGAAGTGGTCCCTGAACAGACCCTCTTCCCCCCCCAACTCATTTTGCCTGTTTTGGAAATCAAGCCTCCTTTTTGGCTCGAGGTGGGGGTGGGTGGGAGGCAGGAGGCCACATAGAGACTCAGCCGTCCTGATCCTGCATTTGGGGTCACTTGCCAGGTAGTGAAGAGGGTTTCCCTCCCTGCTGATCTCAGAAGGGGGGGAGGAGAGACTCCTCAAAGGGAAGGGTGTGTGGCCAGCATGTCATCAGCTGCTGCACCCTTTCCTGGCTCTCCTCAAACTGCTGATGATTAATACCCTTAATCATTCTTATGATGGAAATTGTTCTTAAAACAGAACACAGTGTCAATTAAAAATATATTGAACTCAGACTGGTAGTAGTGGGAGATGGTCCATCAACTAACAATATATGTCCAGAGAGAGGCCTTTGATGCCTTTCCAGGGCGCTTCCTACCTGGTTCCCCCCCCCCCATTTATTTGCAATTCCCCCCGTGGCCACTAGATGTCACGGTAAGCCTAACCCTAATCAAGGGACTGCCATTCTTACTGCCTTTTCTTTTTAGAGCACAGCACCATAGTCTCTCGAGACTGAAGGATGCCTAATCTAACCCCTCTTTTTGGACTTCAAGTCCCAGAATTCCCAGAGAAATGCCCAGGCAGAGTCCTGGTGGCTCCAGCTGGCAGACACCTACATTTGGCTCGCCTGGATCAGGGCCTAGGTCAGAAGCGGCATGGCCTAGCTCTGGCCTTCCTTCCTGATGTGAACGTATTAAAAAGGAAGCTGCTGCAGTAGAAGTAGATAGTGAATAATGGCTAAAATTATTTCATGGCTAAGTTACACCATGTATGGCTGATGATGTCATCAACCGTGATGATTTTCAGGAAATAAAACGGTCCAGTTTCCCCCTGTACATCTGGAGCTCCTCTGGAATCCCTTTTGTCATGGGGGGGGGGAAGCTACATCAAGATGAGGAGGGTTGTGTGAAGTCTTCAATTTCTGGACATGGTAAAGCCATAACAAGCTTGTCTGACACCTTTTAAGGGACAATAAGGCACTACATGAAGCACGCAAGAAGAAGACACCTCTAATCAGATCACACAGAATACAGTTTGGAAAGATAAAACACAGCCAGATTTATACAGATAGGTACATGTTTTTTGTTCCCTCAAAGAGTTTCTGTAAAGGAGTAAGGCTGGCCAGGTTTTCCTTCGCCAGGACAGGTTATCTGACTTTCCAGTCTAGACTGGAGAAGCGAACAGACACAGCTGGGTTTTGTCACTCCTCCCCCCCCAGGCAAATACCAGGACCCATCTTATGTTAATCGAACTCCGGCACCTGGACAGTCATTGCACAATACCTTTCATTCATTCATTCATTCATTCATTCATTCATTCATTCATTCATTCATTCATTCATTCATTCATGGAAGGACAGGCAAANNNCCGGGCGCCGGACCCCGGGGGGCAGAGAGGGGGGGGGGGTGGCAGCTTCCCCCGAGCCAGCGCTCCCTCTGAAAGTTGCCTCTCCAGGATGAGAGGAGCTGTGTCCTGCCCTCTGCCCCCCCTCCACAGGCTCCCCCAGACCCTTTCCCCCCCGGACGTGTGGTGTGGGAGGGCGGGGGCCTTTTCGCCACGGGTCTGGGAAGGGGAACCCCCTCTGGAGCCCCCACCCAGCTTCTCCTACGGGTTCCCGTCCGGTGGGGCTCTGCCTGGTCCCTCTGCCAAGGGGCGTGGAGCTCCCCCCCTCTGTGGGGATCCGCACCTTGTCCAGGCTCCCCCAACTGGGATGTCTGGGCAGAATGCATTCCCACCCGCTTTCAGGGGAGCCCATCTCCTGGTCTCCTTGCAGAAAGGAGACCTCTCTGAGGAGATGCTGTGCCCCCCCCAGCCTCCCCCCCCATGCCATCCTCTAGGGCTCCCGGCGGCTGCTCTTCCTGCCCATCCGGGCTCTGGGCACCAAGGCCCTGCTTGAGTCTCCTGGGGCTTGAGCAGAACACAGGCTGAGGACCGGGGCCAGTGGCAAGGACCCCCCCGGACTTCCTGGTTGCCACATCTCCACTGGCTGCTGGCCCGTTCCTGGGCCCGATGATTCAGACGGCTGGTCACGGCTCACCAGGAGCCAGACAGCTTGGGCCTGCCTCTCTCTGAGACGCCCAGGTCTTTGGTTGGGGTTGCAGGAAGAGCCCCCTCTGTCAGGAGCCCCCGCAGGAGGTGTCCTGAGGCCTCTTTTGGCCAGAGTGATAATGTAGGAATGTTTGTGAGGGCCAAGCGGGAAGGGCCAGGAGATTCAATACTTTGAGGTGAAATGAGGATGCAAAATACATTGACTATAGAGAATACATATAAATACAGATGCAAAAATGCATATAGAATATCATTATAGTAAGGAAATAGTAGGAAATCATATTTGCCCCCTATCAATGCCTCTTCTCCATCCTTCTGGACTGTAGGCCATGAGGCCCTGCCATTGGGTGTTTTCCATCCTGCTGGTGAGAGGGAGATCAATGACAATAGTTACTTTACAAAGCTTATTTGAATTACTGGAAATGTCTTGAAATACAAGCAGTTCTGTTCCTATCAACCTCCTTGCTGGTCTCATCATGGCAAAAGGGCTTTGAGCGCTGCCTGCTCTTTATATGAAGGGTCCCATCCCTCACGCTCTCTTTAAGGTCACCAGGAGTTGGCGCCAGCTTGATGGTCCAGAACAGCAGCCACCATCTCCATTGGTTTTGCTTATGAGGGTCAGGGCGCAGTGGTTAAACTGCAGTCCTGCAGCCAAAACTCTGCTCACGACCTGGGGTTCAATCCCAGGTAGCCGGCTCAAGGTTCACTCAGCCCTTCTCAGGTTGCTTGAGTACACAGCTCACGAGGGGGGGGGGATGAGGATGGGGAGGCAATAATTAACTGCATGATTAACTTGTAAACTGTCCAGTGAGTGCTTTAAGTGCAATGGGGGCGGTATCGAAGCAGCATGCTTTGCTTTGCTTTCCTTTGCTTTGGAAGCAAAGCAAAGGAAATGGGGAGATACATGTGGGCTACGTGTGCAAACCTGATTTTGTGGCTTCCTGTCTTTTGAGGGTTTGTGTGTCTAGACAGGAACCATTGTAAGAGTTGGAAACAGGCGTTTCTCTTAAGATGTGATCTGATCAGGCGGGAGGAGCCCACAGCAGAACAAAACTGGTTGGTTGGATGAAAGAGGGGAGGGCAAACACCCTCCCTGTGGCTGAAAGGTATGGGGCTGATCCTTTGCCCTGGAGGGGTACAAATATTGGGGAGTCCTCTGGCCGAAAAAAGAGGGACTGGCTGGCTTTGCGGTTCTGGCCCCTCTTGCGCCCCCCCACCCGCCTCCAATGCCAAATGAAGGAAACCAAAGATCTTTTCCCTACAGCGGCCTGCTTCATTGCTTTGGGCCCCTTTCTGCTTGCTTGCGTGGGGGGGCGGGGGCGGGGGCGGCGGGGGTCGGAAGCGTCAGGCAGGGAGAGGCCGGAGGGCTCCTCTCAACAGTGGCTGCAGCGTCCAGCAGCTGACCTGGGCAGCGCCGGGCAAGGCGTCCAGCACTGGCAGAAAGCAAGCCCAGCCCTTCTAGCCGGAGCTTCCAAATCCACGGCGAGAAACCCACGGAGCTGGGCAACCTGGCTCGGGACCGGAGCAGGAGGAAGGCAGGAGCCCCTTTTGGGGCTGTGGACGAGGCGCTTTCTCTTTCCTGGAAACGCTGACCTTGCAGGAGAAGTGAAACCTTCTCCCGGTCAAGGACTGTTTGCCTGCCCTTTGGCAGTCTGCAGGGAACCCAGAAAGAGAAACGCCTTTCCTGTCTCCCACTGGACGGTCATGAGGTTTCCCGGAAAGCACCTTCCTTTCGCTAACTGCACCTCCCGTTCTGAGTAGCAACGCCGTTCTGAGGATGCCTGCCTGTGTTCCAGGTGGAGCAGAAAGTTAAGTCCCTACCGAGAGGACAACCATAACCATCATCACCACCAACACTCTCTCACCATCAAGGAGAAGACACATTTTATAGCCCGTGGTGTAAACAGAGATGACTTAAAGCCAATCAGGATAAAGGCTCTCTGCCTCTCTGCAGTCTCACGGGAACCTGTGGACGGACCCACTGGGCCAGGATGAGCCCAGGAATCTTGGCGAAATCTTGGCAGGGGCTTGTTCATAAAAAGTCAAGGAACTCAAACACCTCTCCCATTGACAGCCCTCCATTTGTTTTGCTCTGCATTACTGTTGTGCTTTTAAAAAGTGTGTGTGTGGTAGTCTTCTAAGATCAGCACAAACACACTCATTTTAAGAGCGCAAATTAGGAGTGGGCCGCATTCCGAAGACTCCATCCCGATTCTTCTTTTGAGGAGGAGCGGGAACGTCAGAGGCTCTGGTGGGCCTTGGTGGGCTAACAGGGACACACACACACACACAGAGGAAGGAAACGGATGTTCCCCCCCCCCTCCGGCAGCCCTCCTGCCCACATGGCAGCAATTCCATAGAGGACATCATGGAACCCATCACAGCTTCCTCTCACCCGATGACAGGGCCTCATGGCCTACAGTCCGGGCATCTCATGCACGAAAGGAGCTCTCTGGCCAAAAGAGGCCTCAGGACACCTCCTGCGGGTGTTCCTGACAGAGAGGGCTCTTCCTCGAATCCTGACCAAAGACCTGGGCGTCTCAGAGAGAGGCAGGCCCAAGCTGTCTGGCTCCTGGTGAGCCGTGACCAGCAGTCTGAATCGGGCCCAGGAACGGGCCAACAGCCAGTGAAGCTGTGGCAACCAGGAAGTCCGGGGGGGTGGGGTTGGGCTCCCTGCCACTGGCCCCAGTCAGCAGCCCAGTGGCAGCATTTTGAACCAGCTGAAGTTTCCGAACAGTCTTCAAAGGCAGCCCCACCAACAGCCCATTACAGCAATCCAAGCAAGATCCACCTAAGGCTTGTGGCGCTGTCCCCCAATCAGGCATCGGCAGGAACGGGAGCAACACTCCCAAACTCTGGCTCCACAGCGAAATACTTACACCAGAGAACACAGCTGGATTCATAGATCCGTTTGAAAACTTTCTTCCCTTTCAGCCACACCGAAACAAAAATGCTTTCCTTTAGTAAATCAGGGGGAGGGGGTTAATAATTTCTAATCACATGGCTTTCTGGAAAAGGCAGGCGAGAGACCCTCTCACTTTCGCTGCTGCTCATCTTCCTTCTCTCTGCTGTTTTCTCTTCCTCTCTTCTGTTTCTCTTCCTCTATTCTATTTTTCCTGTCCGCTTCTCCTAAACCAGTCAGGAGGGGGGAAGCCGTCCAGAGTCCACATGGCAGGGAGACAAGAAGGGCCCGTTGGCTCCTGGCCAGCCTGCATTTTTCTGCTCTCGGCCTCAAAGTCCGCAACCGTCCTCCAGTGGCACAATTTGAGCTGGTCTGTCAATCTCCCCCTCCTGTGAGAAGGGCTTGGGAAAGAAGCCCCCTCCCCTGCCACGATAGCGCCGTCATGAGTATTTCCAGGAGATGCCAGGGTCGTAGATACTGTTCGCAAACAGTGGCCTTGGTTAAATGCTTAATGCTTCATTTTGAAACACTTGATGATGTTTTCCCATCCTGAGCTTGATATACCCTTATTGGGCTGATATTGGCTCTTTTCTGATAAATCCCAGTTCATACCAGCTAAGAAAAGAACGAAAGGTTCCAGACAAGCTCCCCGTTTCTCATGAGTCGCTTGAGCTTCCAAGTCTGGGAGGCAAGAGAGGTTCTCGTGTAGTAGACATGGTCCAGAGGGGCGGGGTAAAAATCCAATAAATAAATAAAAAATAAATTTGTGGGTCCTGGAGGGAGGGATGGGGGGGGGCTTCAGTGGGTGGATGGTGACATCTCTAGCGAAAACTGAGAGAGTTCCCGCTTCGTGCCATGTTGATGTTTCTGCCCTCCCCGGGCTTGGTTTTGTAGCTGCTAAGAGGCATAAAAGATTTGCAAACATGCCAGAGGGGCAAACTGCTCCTTCTCTCTCCACGAGGGTCGCATCTTTCCCAGCAAACAAACGGTCTGCTCTGCCTCACTCGCTTTGCTCTCATTTCTGAGCCTCCAGGTTCCTCCCCCTGAGAGCAGACCATCGGTGCTCTCTCTGAGCACAACATTCCCACATCCCACACAAACACATGTTATGAAAATATTCACACCAGGATAGTAGTAAGCGGTTTTATTTTCATGTTTGCAGGCATGGAGAGAGCACACCTCCGTGGGTATGGTCTCTGCTGTTACAACGCACAAACAACAACTTTTATACCCAATGCATATTTTCCCTCTCTATCCCTCTGACCAATCCAGTCATGGCGGAAGGCTTACATTCTGCCGATCACACAACGCCAATACAGGCTAGACTGCCCATACTCCATTTTGTAAAATCCTCCATTTTGTAAATTAATCTTTCATAACTCTTTATTATTGTGAACTTAGAACTTTATAAACAACAAGATTATATTTCTTTATCACACACACACAATGTGTGACCTTTGCCTGCAGTTTCATTTTCACTATTGCACAGATAAAAGGAGAAGGGCTTTCTGTGAGTGGGAGCAACATCCTTTGGTGCATCCTTCGAGGCAGAGCAAGCCCGGGAGCAGCTAAAGACCACAGGAGGTCCGGCTGATTTCTGCCCTTGGGTGAGTGCCTGGATTGGGAGTGGGGAGTGAAGGTGGCTGGGGGGTGGTGGGGTGGAGGTGTGCATTTGCAAGCCGTCCATCTTCAGCAGCGACTCCTGACTGGCCGGTGTTGAAAACAACGTCTTTGTTCACCCAGTGGGTCAGAGAGCATAACCAGAAATGACAGGAGGCTGCTTGCCCGTGCAATGAATGGGAAGATTTATTTAAGTGTAACACAAAGAACTTAGCAAAGAATTTCGGAAAAGATGAAAGATGAAAAAGCAAAATTCCATGAGGAAAAGGGTAACATTCACAAAAATCAATCCATTCATTGCATGCAGAAATCTTCCCACACAAGGCAGACTCTGATTCCAGTCCAGCTGAAGCCCTCTGAATAGATACGACCCTGAACAAACCCAATTAACTCTTCAAAGTAAATCTCCCTGGTGTGCCAACTCAAGGCCCATGGAATGAGATGAGCAACCGCTCATCTCATTCCAGCACCCCCTGAAACACTCTCCAGCCCTGACTTTTCTACAAGCAGGCCTAAAGGTCCCTTAGCAGGGTGGTAGCAAAGCCGAAGCGTCACAGCGGGATAAAAATGGAGACAGAAAGAGGGCATTTGCCTGAGCCAACACAGGGGTGAGGACAGGCAAAGTTTACGCGCTCCGGAGCTCGGTGGCTGAGAGCTGGTGGGTGCGGTTTTCACTTACTGCTGGGACAAAATGAGGCGCGCGCCTTCTGGGACGGGTCTTCGGTTGGGGTCGCTGTCGGAGGTTCCCCCAGGAAAGGGCAAGGGGGAAAGGGGAGCGGAAGAAAGCCGAGGAGGTTCCCCCCACCCCGATCCCTACCTGTGTGTGAGTGAGTGCGCATGTTGGTGGGCAGGGTGGGGTGGAGAGGCTGGTGGAGGCGCTGAGTCGGAGACGGGAGCCCTTCCGCAGCGCCTCCTGTTCGGGGGGCATCAGGCGGGGGACTCTTGGGGAAGCAGCTTGGCCAGATGCGCACAGAACCCATCGGGCACCTGGGCGCACATGTGTACTTGCCCACATTAGATCAGGGGCCGAAGGGCCTTTTGCCTGGCACCCGTCCAGCGTGTGCTGCGCTTTCTCCTCCGGCCCCACTGGTGGGGGATTAACGGCACAGCCACCATCTACTGCCACATCTGCCCGAGTCCAGCCACCAGTTTATCTCAAGAAGAGCCGAGAGTACAGCAGCCCATGGAAGACGAGCCGGCTGTCCTTGGGAGGGCCTCTTGGGGGCCAGAGCCCCCTCCTCCAGGCGCCTGGAGGGACCCTTCAGTGGTCCTCAGGCCCCAATGAGGTTGCTGCTTCCGATTGACAACCACCTCAGGACTTAATAACGTCTGGAAGGTCCCGTCCTGCCCAGGTCTCACTGCTTTCCTTTAGGGAGTGGGTCCATTTCAGGCTGTGTCTTCTCCTCTCCACTCTTCCCAACATAATGGGCTTTTCTGGTGGGTAATCATAAATATACCAGATTAGTTTTAATACCTGTGTACTCCCCTTGCTCTAAGCAAAGAAAATGAATGCCCATGGAATGAGATGAGCAGCCGCTTGAGGGGCTACCAAGCACCCCCTGAAACGCCCTCCAGCCCTGACTTTCCTACAAGCAGGCCTAAAGGTCCCTTGTATTTGATCTGTGTCATTGAGCGTTCTTGCCATTCCCAGGCATTTAAGTGCTTCAGGAACGCGTGTGCATAACATGGGTCTTCGATTTTCTCCAGTTTTCCAACTGCACTGCTCAACAGACCCAAAGAAACACACAGCCTGGCTTAACATTCTCCATTCAGTTGGGAGCATTTCAAGGGGATCAGAGGGAAACGCTTTCCTGTTGCTCCCACTCCCTTTTTCCTGGCTGTTTTGAAACCTACCTGAATCCGCCTGTAAGTGAAAGCTGCCAGGCAAGGTTCTGCCCGCAAGCATTTCAGGTGGCCAGGATTGGGGACGGGGCAGGCGCAACCCTCTGCTAGGATAAGGAGGCTGGGGGGAGGTGTCTCCCACTGTTGCTTTTTCCCATTATTTCCCCTTTAGAGTGGTTCAGCTCAGATAGGAAAAGAGGCAGGAGAAATGCCTGAGAGCCACACAGGTGGTAATGCTAGAGGACTAAGCATTTGAACTTAGATTTACCCAACATGAAACTGGGTGCAATTTCTACATGGCCATCCTTCCCCCCACACACACACAAAAAGTATCCCAATGTGCATTATAGGGGAAAGTGTCTTGGATACCAGCTCTGGATGGTGGGGCTCTCCTATGCAGGTGGAGGGAGGGACCTGGTGTAGCCGATCTCTTCTTGTGTTTGGAGAAAGGATATCATTTTCTTGATCCGCTGGTCCCCTTAGGTAGCCACTGTATCAGTCATGGGGAGAATCAAGTGTGTGGTTCATCGTTACAGGTTTTCTTGGGGAGGGGGTTCGGGCATCCCTGTTGTGGTCGTGCCTCGTCCTCTTTACTCCTCTCCGCGCCTCCGTCTTTGGCCGGCCGGCCGGCCTCCCTCCCTGACAGCCGGGGCTTTTTCTCTTGCAGGGAGGCGGAGGGGGGGAGCGGCACCATGGCCCAGTCGCAGAGCACCATCGAGATCCCGGCCCTGGGCCGGCCCTTCCAGCTGGGGATGCTGTACGACTGTCGCAAGGATTCCCTGATCCCAGGTAAGCGCTTCGAGGGGTGGCCTTCCTCCTCCTCCGCGGAGGCCTGTGCGGGGGATGGATGGTCACGACCCTGTGGAAGGCCGGCATCCTTCCAGTTTTTGAGAAGAGGGACCTGGAAGTCCCACAAAAGGCGCATGCCTCCTTCTGCCAGCTGGGGCTCGGACGAATGGCGCACTCGGGGGCACCTGCCACTGCATGCCCCCAACACATGACAGACGGATGGAGAGAAGGCAGAAGCTGCTTGCGGGATGCCACTCGCCTGCCCAGGGTCTTGCTCAGGGCTGGATACACAGAGCCTGCTAAAGAGCCACTCTGGTCTCTTCAGTTTCTCATTCACATTCGGTTTCCTCTCTGGCTCATTCCTTTTAGAGATGGACTGGTCTTTTCAGCCACCCTTTCCCCCACCAGTTGGTGGTGTGGGAGGCAAAAGCCAAACCAGAGGAGAACAGGGCAAATGTCGGAAATTTTCCAGAGGGCTCGTCTTGATATCTGCTCCTTTCGAGGGGGCTGGTGCAGGCAAAACCACATTGCTTCAGGCCAGGTAGAGGCCGGGTATGCCATGTGGTGTCATCCTGGCATCCCAAGGGCATTCACACCTCAAGGGAACCTCTTGGTCCACCTGCGTTTCAAGGAAGGGAACAAGATTGAAACCACAGCAAAGGGATCCCCTTCCTTTCCCTCCTTGGGTTCTAAACAAAGCCAGATGATGCTGCACATTAGCCCTTTAAAAAAAAAAGCCTTTTCCTTCCTCTGCCCTTCCATGGAGCAGAGGAAGTGTTTTGTTCCCAAATCCAACAGAGGGGTGAAATGGTCATTGTAGGGTTCCCCATTTTATTAGGCCTATGGTTTGTTATGTAATGTAATGGTTCATGCATATTCATGTTGCTGAGAGGCGGAGCTGAGAGAGATGCTATAAGAGGCGGAGCCTGAGTCAGCAAATGGCAGTCAGTAAGAGTCATTGAGATAGTAACAGAGAGTGGGAGAAGTAGATAGAGTGTGGAGTTTGGGGAATTATTGTGAGGTGTGATTAGCTACTGAAGACATTCATGAATCAATCTCTGTAATCAATAAACCAAAGTTTTATTTAAAAGACCTTGAGGTGTGGAGCTGAATCTTTCTGAGATAATGGTGATTAGTGATCACCTGGTGGCAGCAGTGAAAATAGGGATTGTGTGCCTTCGTGTGCTCTGGGGCTTGACGGTCAATCAAGGGGCACGAGGGTGGACCCCTCAGTCATCTTCAACTGCTTCTCGCAGCGCCTCTCTCTCTCACTAGGACCACCCACCCCGTCGTATATTCTGGGATGTTATGGGTAATCACCCTGAAGAAGGCCTGGAAAAGACCAGCTGGAATCCGGGCCTTTGTTGTTGTGGCTGCTTCATTATGGGACTCTCTTCCACCCACAGAAGTGCAAGAGGCTCCCTCCCTCCTTGCTTTTAGGAAACAACTTAAAACATGGCTCTTTACCAGGCCTTTAGATGATGATGATCATCATCTAAAGTTTGCTAATTTTGTAATAATTGGTTGTGGTTGGTCACCATCTAGTGTACATCTGTATTTTTGCATTAGTTATTTTACGTTTCTATATTTAGTTTTGTGTGTAGTTTTATTATATGTTTGTTTATCTACGATATGGGTAGCTGGCCAGAGTAGTGGCCTAGCCGCTTAATGGAAGGGATTAATCAATCAGCCAGAGACAGAGAGGTCCAATAGGTATTTGTTTATTTTCAGCTGAAAGCAAGCAAATTGTTGCAACTTCACTCGCAGGAACATGCCGCACTCATTGCAGAATATACTTTTATAAAGAATATACTTTTATAAGCCTCCAAATGAGTAAGGGGAGGCAAAGGAACAGCAGCAGGAGCAGGAGCGGGAAAGGAGGGTTTGCAGACGTCATCCCTCCCAGTTCCAGGTGGTTAGACTCCCATGTTCCTTATCCCTGACCAAGGAGACATTCTCTAGTTAGACTAGTTAGTTGCAAGCAACAGTAATTCAGGCAGCCTTCTTCCTTTGTTTATTCTTCTCTGTAGCAAAGCAATTTACAGAAAGCAAGGTCTAGCTGCCAGCAACAGTAATTCAGGCAGCCTCCTTCCTTTGTTTATTCTTCTCTGCGATGCAGATACTTTGGTACATAGATTTACACATTTATGTAGTGTTAACCCCGAAAATCGAGGCCTTCAGTAGTAAAGCAATTTACAGAAGCCAAAACCAAGAGAGAGGAGCAGGCCCTCTCACAGAAACAGAAAATTAATTTGACCCCGTCAGTGCCCTGTTTCTGTGAGAGGGCCTGCTCCTCTCTCTTGGTTTCGGCTTGCCCAACAGCCAGGAGAGCCTCCATAGAAGGACGGGCTTCGGCTGGTTGCACTTGCTGTGGGACTGCACCAGCCTGAACTTGTGGGTTCAGCCCTCTCAGACTTGGAACCGTTCCTTGAGCGCACTTGCTCTTCGAGAAAGGAATCAAATCCGCACTTCTTTGTGTGAAAACAAGGAAGCTCGTGTTTATTAGAAGAAGACGCTTGGGATAAGAAAGGTGGCTGAAGACTTTGCTCTAGTGAACAGAGTTGTTGGTATCCAGGGCTCCAGCCACCCCATTGCATTTCTGGGGATCCAAAGGAAGATTTCTCCTCCTTGGAGGGATAGAAAAATGGCATCGAAAGACAGGAAGGAAGGAGGTGGCATCAGCAACTCTAGAAATTTAAGGGTGGGCGTTGTGTAGCATCCAGTGTGTTCAGTGTTTCTATTGCTCCTCCTGTTCTGTCATTGAATTATTACTTTTTAATCTTTCTAAAGTTCATTGTGTTTGCAATTCCAGTCCTAGTCCCACATCACGCTGCGTGCCATTTCCGTATCCCTCTCTGGGGTCTCTAAAGCTATCTTATTTATAAGCATATGGCAAGCCCAGTGAACTTTATGCAGATGTGAAACTACACAAAAGGCAATCTGTAGTGTTCACCCTTGTTATGCAATTAAATTATGTATTGTTCATGAGTTATATGCTAATGTGGTTAAGAGGTGGGGCCGAAAGAGATATTAAAAGGCGGAGCCTGAGAGAGGAGACAGTCAGTCAGTGCTGTCGAGTCGAAGTCTGTGTTAGGAATCAGGGAGAGAAGGATAGTTTGGGGTCTGAGGAGTGATTAGTCTGAGTGTAAACTGTGATAATAGGCTGCCCATCCGATTCCGCATCGACTTCAAAGTGTTGATGCTTACGTACAAAGCCCTAAACGGCTTAGGGCCTCGATACTTGGCGGAACGACTACTCCCACCAAGATCTACCCGTGTCACCCGATTTAGTCAGGAGGTGAGGCTGAGGGGCCTAACGCCGAGGGAGGCCCGGAAAGAAAAGACAAGAAATCGGGCCTTCTCGGCGGTGGCTCCTCGCCTCTGGAATAACCTTCCCCCTGACGTTCGCGCGGCTCCCTCGCTGGGTATTTTTAAAAATCAATTAAAAACCCTGATGTTACATTCCAATGGAGGATACATTGTTTCGCTTAGCGATGTTTCCTATGGGTTTTTTCGCTTAACGATGGCAATCCGTTCCAATTGGAATGGATTAACCGGTTTCCAATGCATTCCTATGGGAAATGGTGTTTCGCATAGCGATGGTTTCACATAGCGATGTGTTTTTTTGGAACCAATTAACATCGCTATGCGAGGCACCACTGTATATATCTTGCTCTAACCATAGCCACCTTGCTTTCTGTAAATTGCTTTATAGAAGCCAAAACCAAGAGAGAGGAGCAGGCCCTCTTGCAGAAACAGGGTACTGAAGGGGTCAAATTAATACATATGCATTATATGTTTGGGGTCTGAGGAGTGATTAGTCTGAGTGTAAACTGTGATAATAACTATAGAAGGTTAATATTGAAGCTTGATGGAACTTGAAGGATGTGCTTATGAATTGTTCCAGAAACCAACTGTAATCAATAAGCCTCTTCTATTTAAAAGTCAGTACTGAATGGACCTTCATCTTTTCTAAGTAAAGTAAGTTGATAAGGAGGCCAACTGGTGGCAGGCCTGTCAAGAGGTGCTTTGGTTTGCCTTTGTGAGCTCTGTGCTTAGTGAGACAAACAGGGGCCTGGAGGGCAAAGGTCACACAATGTTTTATGAGCAGAACAGAAGGTTTTTGCTCGGAGACAAATTGCTGTAAATACTTTGCAAAACAAAAGAGGGGGGGTGAGGAAAGTTCAAAAATTCTCACAGGTTGCTCAGAGGGGAGGACATTTTTGAAAGAGCCTGCCAGCCCTGCATGGTGCCCCCCCTTCTCAGGGGTGTTGTAAATCTTGATGCAGGCATTTCCATCTGTGCAAAGCTCTGCTAGGAGAGTTCCTGCATTAGCAGCAGCCTCAAGGGCAGCGGTGCTCCCTCAAAGTCTCTCCGGAGGTATTTAGATCCATGTTATCACCACGGAGCAATACAACAAATTGTACAACAAATCCCAGCTTATTCAAGATCTTCCCATGTTATCACCACGGAGCAATACCGTGGGCAGAAGTTGGGTGGAAAACAAAGATTGCTAAGTTTGTTTAGAAAATATATTCAATAGAAAAGTTTAGCCTCATTAGATAGAATACCACAACGCACAGACTGACTGTGTGGCTTAGAAATAAGAAAGAGATGTCAACAGCTGGAAGGTTAGAACGTATAGAGAGGCCTGGGGTAGGGGAGAAGAAGGGGCGAAACTCTATATATCTCTTTAGAGGGACCAGAGGGCAGGGAGGGTTCAGGCTCCCCTTGGCTGGACCCGAAGGCCCCCCTTGGACCTTCGTGGGGAGAGATGGGAGAGAGAGCAGAGGGTCTAGTCTAGAAGGTTCTGCCCACACTCAAGGGTCCTCTCAAGCACCAGGTGCTCAAAGCCCAGCATATAGAAAACCCCCAGGGACACCTCCAGAGAGCTGAGAGGATTCCCTCAGCCTTTGTCTAAAAGAGAAGAGCCCGCCCTGTGTTGTGTCTTTCACACAGAACATTCTGTGTGGAGGAGGTGGCAAGACTGAGAAGTGACAAAAGGTCCTTTATTCTATGATGATTTTGTAGTTGTCTATAAAGATATTGCTTGTTTTGCATTTGGATCTCATACCTCCCACATGTGTGACCCGCTCTGTTCTCTGCAGCCCAGATAGAGAAATATGCAACACTGATAATGATAGGAATTGACACACACACACAAACACACACAGAGAAAGACAGAGAGAGAGAGAGCCCCGAAGGGTTAGAAAGGCGTGGGGGAAATTCCCCCTCAAGGACAACCACAAAGAAAAAGACGGGAAAGATGAGGGGGAGGGGAGAACCTGAGGGGAGCAGAGCGAGATTTGGCGGGAAGCAACTGAGGAGAAAGGAAGGCGGAAGGAGGAGCGGGGGAAGGGAGGAGGAGATAAAAGGAGGAGGACTGAAGGAAAGGAGGGAGAACCTGATCTGGAGAAGAGGCAGCAGGAAGGCTGGGAAGAGGGAGAACCGGAAGGTCCCTGGACAGGACAAAAAGGAGTCACTTTCAGAATAAACGGAGGAGGAAGCTGAGAAAAGGAGAAACACCGAGGAAACCCTCATATGGGGAGGAAACAGAAGAGCGAGAAAGGAGGAGGCTGGAAGGCTTGACCGAGAGGAGAGGGGCAAGGAAAGGGGTGGGACGAGATCCGAGGAGACCCTGGAGAACCAGGGAGATGAGAGGGAGGGAGGCAGACCTGAAGGAGAAGGGCCAGGAGAGGGAGAGGCACCCGATGGGACAAGAAGGTCCGTGACCCCCCACCCGCCAGTATCGCTCACTCCTTGGCTTGTCCATCCGCCTGAGAGGCTTTGAGGAAGTCCTCCTGATAGAAGGTTGACTTCTGATGATATTACCACTTGTAAGGATCGACTGTTGTCATGTCATGAGGAGCTGGTGGATGTTGTGGTGGAATGAGCACCTCAATTGTTGATTAGAAGTTTGATGGTTAAAACCGCCAATAAAGGAAGGATGGGGCGGGGAGGAAACCCAAGGTTGGGACAGCGCCCTTTAACACCCTGTTTCTACTTCCTCTTCTGTTGACTCACAGAGGGAAGCAGAAGGATCTCCTCTATAGAGACCACCAAGTTCTTAAATTTTGCCTGTGTTTCTTTGTTTTGTTCCAGGGATCACCCTTTGGGATCTGGACTCCCTGCAGAAGGACCTGTGCATCAAGCCACAGCCCAAAACGGAATTTGAGGTCATTGCGTCCGACTCCATTGACGATAAAGCTTCGGCCCTCAACGTCTCAGCGTCACTCAAGGCCAGTTTCCTGGGGGGTCTGGTTGAAGTGGGGGGATCGGCCAAATACCTTAATGACACCAAGAAGTCCAAGCAACAAGCCAGAGTCACTCTACAATACAGAATGACCACCAAGTACGAACAACTCACCATGAGCCATTTGGGAACCCAAAATATCTCTTATCCAGCTGTGTTTGAGCATGGCACCGCCACCCACGTAGTCACTGCCATCTTGTATGGAGCCCAGGCTTTCTTTGTGTTTGATCGAGCAGTTTCTTCTTCTGAGTCGGTACAAGAGATAGAAGGAAGCCTCCAAGTTGTGATTGGGAAAATAGTATCTATCAAAGGGGAAGCAGACATCCAGATGAACGAGAAGGAGAAATCGCATGCTGAGAACTTCAGCTGCAAGTTCTACGGTGACTTTTCTCTAGAGAATAATCCATCCAGTTTTCAGGATGCTATGAGAGTATACGCCACTCTGCCCAAAATGATGGGCACCGATGGGGAAAAAGCTGTGCCTGTCAGAGTCTGGTTGTACCCATTGACCATGCTGGACTCAAAAGCAGCAAAAATGGTCCGTGAAATCAGCACAGCCCTGATCTTTGATGCTCAAAAGGTTCTGGAGCAACTGAATGACATCAACATGAGATGCAACGACCTAGAAAAGGATCCCATCACAGACACTTTCCCAGAAATCAAGGGGAAAATCAGCGGTTTCAAGGATTTGTGCAAACAGCACAGACAGACATTCCAAAAGCAGTTGGCAACAATCCTGCCTTCCATCCGGGGTGGGGGGAAAGAGGAAGGGGTCCTGGTGGACCTCCTGATGTCTGTAAACCAATCCCCCTTCAACAGCAAAAGGCTCGATGAGTTTCTTGACAGCAAGAAAAGAGAGGTTAATTTGGTGAAATCTTACCTGTCGATCCTAAGTGGGGAAGAGATTGAAACAGTCTCTTCTCAGAGCAGATTGGAAGAAATAGTACTTGACCCCCAGAATGAGTTTGTAATTTCATTTACATTCACTTCCCTACATGACGAAGAGCCTTTTTTATCAACCCTACAAGACTGCCTTCAGAGACAATTTTTCCAAGCAGTGGATGACAGTTCAAGGGGTGGCCACGTGTTGGAGAAATGGAAGGCATGGTTTGAGGACAAAGAAAAAACCCGAAATGCTCGGAAAGCTGCTAAATCTATTATAGACTTTGCCTGTGTGAACAAATCATCTGGAAAGACCCGGTGTGTTGTGGCATCTGTCTCACACGGGGACACGCCAGGAGCTTCTGTTTACCTCTATGAAGATGGGGAGCTCATCAGCAGCAGCTTTGAGCTGCCATCAAAACCTCTCCCGCTCCTGATCAGTGACGTTGGTCATGACAGCGTGCAGCTGACCTTCCAACCGGCCGATTACGGGAGGGCTGCGATCTCCAGCTATCAGGTGGAGTACAGGAGGGCAGGAAAGGAAAACTGGCAGTCTGTCTGTACAGAGGACAGCCAGGGGGCTTTTCTCTTAAGAGGGCTTCACCCAAACATGGAGTATCAGTTCCGATACGTTGCAAGGAGCAAGCCTGGGCTCAGTGAGACCAGCGATGTGAGCCAAACTGTCAGGACCCTTCCCACCAGCCCTCCTGGGAAACCTGAAGCCGTAACTGTTGAGTCATCCAAAATCTCTTTTTCCTGGAAAAGCCCCCGAGCGATTGGGGCAGGAGCTGTTCTAAAGGAATACAAAGTGGAATACAGAGAGGGAAGCATTGACGAATGGGAGGAAATGAAAACAAGTAAAAAAACAGAGTTCTGGGAGATTGCTCCACTCAGGCCCCAAACGGCCTACAAAGTCCGAGTGTCTGCCGTGTGTGCTGACGGGGCTCAGAGCGCTCCCAGTGATGAGACGGAGATCTCCACGTCACTTGAAGAAGAAGAAGGGAAGTCCCCAGTAGCTCAGAGATACCTCCAAGAAAGCACCTTGGTCGTCCCAGGGCAGCCCTCCATCTATGTCCTTCCATTGAAGAAGGCCAGCTCCGATGGGTCCTCATCTTGTATAACGTATCTCCTCGGGAAAGAGAACTTGAGGGTCCCCAACAAAGTGATCATGGTGATGGGAGCCACAGGGTCAGGCAAGACCACCCTCATAAATGGGATGGTCAACTACATCCTGGGTGTGCAGTGGAGAGACCCCTTCCGCTTCAAACTTATCCATGAAGTCACCAACAGAAGCCAGGCTGAGAGCCAGACCTCTGAAGTGACAGCCTACGTGGTCAATCATCAGAAGGGCTTCCGAGTCCCCTATTCCCTCACAATCATCGATACCCCCGGCTTTGGAGACACGAGAGGAATCGAGCATGACAAACAGATAACGAGGCAGATCCGAGAGTTTTTCTCCACCCCGGGAGGCACTGATCATATCGATGCCATCTGCATTGTAGTTCAGGCCTCTTTTGCTCGTTTAACACATGCCCAGAAATACGTGTTTGACTCCGTGCTGTCCATTTTTGGGAAAGATATCAAGGACAATATTCAGGTCCTGGTGACTTTTGCAGATGGACAGACCCCTCCTGTCCTCGAGGCCATCAGAGTAGCTGATGTGCCCTGTGCAAAAGATACTGATGGGACCCCCGTTCACTTCAAATTCAATAATTCCGCACTTTTTGCTAAGAATCCTCTAGACAACAAAGGCCACTGGAGTTTTGATGAAATGTTCTGGGAAATGGGTTGTCAGAGCATGAAGACCTTCTTTGACTCAGCAAACAGACTGGAAACTAAAAGCCTGACGTTGACAAAAGAAGTTCTCCGGGAACGGAAGGAGCTGGAAGTTGCTGTGGAGGGGCTACAGCCCCAAATCAAAGCTGGACTAACAAAGCTGGAAGAACTAAGGAAGACAAAACACGCTCTGGATCAACACAAGGAGGACATGGCAGCCAACAGGGACTTTGAGTATGAGGTAGAGATAACGGTGCCAGTGCAAATCGACATCTCTGGAAGTGGTAATTACATAACTAATTGCCAGATTTGTCATTTTACCTGCCACTTTCCTTGTGGGATTCCTAATGATGATGGAAAACGTGGTTGTGCTGCGATCGATCAGAGTACAGGCATGTGCACTGTTTGTCCTAGCCGGTGTGTGTGGAATGTTCATTTCAACCAGAAGTACAGATTTGAATATCAAAAAAAGAAAGAGAAACAGACCTATCAAGAGTTGAAGCGAAAATATGAAGAAGCATCTGGTGAGGTCATGAGCACGGAGAAGGTTCTGGAAAGTCTCACTCTGGAGTACGAAGAAGTGAAATGTGTCTTAGTGGAGCTGATCAAGAAATCCTCTCAGAGCCTCCAGCGACTGCAGGAAATTGCCCTGAAGCCCAACCCTCTGTCCACTCCCGAATACATCGACCTGCTCATCCTGTCAGAAGAAGAGGAAAGAAAGTCGGGCTATCAGGAAAGGATCCGGACCCTCACGGAGGTGAAGAAAGTGGCTGAAATCATCCAGAAGATTGCCAACAAGGAGCCTCTCCTGCCTGGGGAGCAGGATTTGTATGAGCACATTGAACAGAAAAAAACCCCTTCCACTCTGAAGGACGCATTTTTGAAAGGGGTGGCAACTGTTAGGAGCTGGTTTAAGTAAGGGGCAATGCACGCACACGCACGCGCACGCGCGCGCGCGCGCGCACACACACACACACACACACACACACATTTATCCCTAGATGGTACGCCACCTCTGACTGGTTTTCGGCGAAGGATCTTCGCTTGTCTGTGTCAATCTCTGCCTGGGACATTTTCTTCTCCTGTCCTCATCCACAAATCCCGCTTCACGCTTCACTTGGTGCAAAGGGATTCCATGCTGGGGTTTATCCTGACTCATGCGAGTGTCCTTCAGCTGGTTTAAGTTCCTGAATAAGTCTGTTCCTCCGCCATGTCAGAAGAATGTCATTGGGAGCGACTTCCCAGAGAGCCAGGAGTCGAGTGAGGCATTGCAGGAAAGAGTCCAACTTCTACTGACTGGCACATCCCCACCCCAAAGCCAGCCATTGGCACAGCCAGGGTGCCATCCTTCTGCCAGCTTCACCCACAATGGACCCTCCTTTCCTGCGGCCTCTGTCAAAGTTTGAAATTCAGGATGCATGCATTGCTGGAATAATGAGGGAGAGTGTAAAAAAAAGAGCAACCTTTGAAATGTACAGTGTGATTAGCAAAAGGACGTTTGAACAGCCGTGTGCAAAATGTCACTGCAGACCAATCAGCAGCCAGCCACATTGGAAAGCAAAGTCAGGTAATATAAAATTAACTCTGAAAAGTAGAGTAGGACCCCCATATCTGCCGGGGATTGGTTTCAAGTCACCCCCCCAACCATGGAAAATTGAGCATGGATATAAACTAATAATATCAAAGCATAACATTGGGGGGGGGAGTGAAGACATAACAATGGAGAAAAAAACACACACTTTTAGAATATTGAGGTGCATGTATAGCCAATTGGTATCTTACTGAGTTGCTGTTTGATCTCCTGGTATTTTTCTCACCTATAAAAATTGTTCCTAACTGACTTACTATGGAATCTGTCTGATATGACCGCAGGTATTCCAGGGAATAAGCCAAAACATAAACAAAGGCTTTGCTTCCTTATAAGTTTGCTATCTTAGCAAAACCAATAGAGATGATCATAGGAATTTTACAAGATGTATTTCACAGGGCAGCAGGTCCCTGCCCTAGCAAATTTCAGTTATCGAAAGTTGAAGGGAAATGTAAACAAGTGAGAGAAAGATAAATATAGGGAAGCAGAAGATACACGACAAGACAGACACTCCAGATACCAACAACACAGACCAGGTGTGAGGCAGCAAGAGGCAGGCAGCCGACTGTGGGGATTTTTTTTTCCCCACAGCCGACAACACACAGGCCTCATGCAACTCCCTCCATAGATGCCAACTGGCTCATGGATGGATTGGCTGGGTGAGAACCTTGTTTAGAAACTGCCTTGTGTACCTGAATATCTTTAAAGGCTAAGAAATACATATTTACTTCCATATATTTTTACTTTTAAGAACTTTGATTTTTTAAGAGAAATAGACTCTGCTTTTTGATTGTACCTTTTAAGATTATAAGCTGCTGCATTTTTAGAATGTAATTAAAACATTTTTTTTGGTATTTTTATTGTACCTTTTCTGCTCCTGCCTTCTTGAAATATGAAATATGTTTAAGTTCTTGTCTGTAATTTTTATAGCCAAAAGCTTATGATGGGAATAGATTTTGCTGACGTAAGCTCTGCATACAATTTAGGTTTTGCTTTTCAGTGTACTTTTGGCTGTGATTTTTCATAGTTGTAAGACTTTTCAATGGCAATCATGGCTGCAGCTTTTCACAAGGAAGGATTTCTGTTGAAGCTTTTCTGTCTACAGCTTCTTTTCATAGCTGTAGGAATGATTTTTTTTTTGTAAGATGAAGAAATGGGCCTGTAACTTCTCAAAAAAAAATTAAATGCTTTCAATAACTTTTGGATTTCTGTGCATATAAGCCATGTAGATGAATAAAGTTTGTAGAATTAGACAAGCTAATGTTGCCTGGAATTATTTGTGTACCTGAGGGGAAAAATGAAGAAATGGATTTCTAGAGAAGACTTCCTACATCTCCGGTGAAACAAGAAAACTACTTTTACTTTGAGACTTAGATGAACTTTGATAAGACTGGAAAAGATGATCTGGCCTCACACTGGAATCAACCTATTGTTTGTTTGTTTGTTTGTTTGTTTGTTTGTTTGTTTGTTTGTTTGTTTTATAGGCCATTATTTGTGTACCTGAGGGGAAAAATGAAGAAATGGATTTCTAGAGAAGACTTCCTACATCTCCGGTGAAACAAGGAAACTACTTTTACTTTGAGACCCAGATGAACTTTGATAAAATTGGAAAAGATGATCTGGTCTCACACTCGTTCGTTCGTTTAGTTGTTTAGTCGTGTCCGACTCTTTGTGACCCCATGGACCAGAGCACGCCAGGCCCTCCTATCTTCCACTGCCTCCCGGAGTTGTCTCACACTGGAATCAACCTATTATTTCATTTCATTTCATTTCATTTCATTTCATCCATCCATCCATCCATCCATCCATCCATCCATCCATCCATCCATCCATCCATCCATCCATCCATCCTTTATATGCCACCCATCTGGCAGCCAAGGCCATTCTGGGCCAGTTAAATATCAGTTGTGATGGACCACCACAGACTCAGAACTACCAAAGGGCATTATAAAGGTCTATAGTGCTCAGGAGTCAACATTAAAGTCTCGTACTTTTGACCTTGTCAGCTCCGCTCCCCTTGAATGCTTGAAGCATAGGATGAGCTGCTCGTTCCCCTTCCCTCTAGATAAGCACACCTTGAGAACAGGGGCTTCCCGTCACACACACTCTATGTGTCCCACCTGGAGCCCAGCCAGTATCTGAGGAGAATGGAGGTTTTAATATCCTCTGTGCTGCAAGATCGGAAGACCGGCCGTTGTAAGATTGGATCCAGGCGATGGAGTGAGCTCCCGTCGCTTGTCCCAGCTCCTTCCAACCTAGCCATCCGAAAGCATGCAAATGGAAGTAGATAAAGAGGTACCACCATGGTGGGAAGGTAACGTGTCTAGTCGCGCTGGCCACGAGACCACGGAAACGGGCTTCGGACAAACGCTGGCTCTGCAGCTTGGAGACGGGGATGAGCACGGCCCCCTAGAGTCGGAGACGACTGGACTCAATGTCAAGGGGGACCTTTACCTTTTTCTCCTCTGTTCCTGTGTGGGAAATGCACCATAAGCCTAAACTACATGTTTGCTATAATCTGCAGCACACGGGGCAATGTTGCTTCACACACACATTCGCTGTTTTAAGGTGATTCCTTGCATTTAACCGGAATACCTGTAAGTGCAATGGCTCACCCCCACCCCCACCACCCTATTGCCAACCAACCAGCCATTGACCTTTGGGTGGGATTGGTAGAGCTTCTTTTGTGGTCAACTGGGGTGAGAAGGCCCAGGTGGGAAATATTGGTTTGAGGGAGGAATGTAGTAGGATTTAGACAGAAGATGCCCAAGGAAGGAAGGAAGGAAGACAGGGAGGGAGAAGCTGATGATGAATGGAAGGCAGTCCCCCAGCCAGCTAGACCAGTAGATGAAAAAGGCGCCCCCACGGGCGAAATCGCTTCTCCAGGGAGTCCAGCAGGGAGACCTTCCTCTTTCCCCGACCATTCCCAAAAGTAGGACTAGAAGAGGGGGGCGTTGGGGAGTGAAGGGAAGGACAGGACCTAATACGGTCATGGTGTGACCAAGAGATGGAAATCCAGGGAACAAGTATCCTTCCGGAATCACCCACGCTCAGGTCTGAGCGCGTAAGGGATGTGGGCTTTTTGGCCAGCCCGCTTGAAGGCCGCCCGTCGGCGTCTCCACCAGCAGAAACGTTGCTGCAGGGCTACATCTGCAGCGGTGCCAGGGAGAGCTCTGGGCCCCCCACCCTCCCGTCAGGAGCCCTGAGGAGGCTTCCCGGGGGGGGGGCAGTGACAACAGGACCGGAGGGGCTTACGCAGCGCCGCTTCCTGCACCTGATCAGCTTCTAGGGAGGCACCAGCGGCCGACAGGAGATCCTCTTTTGGCCATAAAGGAAGGAGAGCTCCCTGTCAGGGAGGGACCTCCTTGAGTCAGCTGCGGTGCCATCATCATCCTCAACAGGGATGATCTCACCAGCTGGGATAGCAAGGGGGGGCTCCAAGTGGAAGAACCAGGGTCATAGTGGGCGGAGCCTCTGCAGGACCCAGGAGGGAGCCCCTCCCCCTTCCCCCCTCCCTTCAGAATCCCAACTGCCACTGAGGAAAGGCCGGTGCCCATTGACTCCTGTTCCCTGGGGGGGGGCTGTTAGTGGGTGTGTATGTGTGTGTGCAAGGGGAGTTGGGTGGCATCTGGGCACACACACCCCTTGTGGATCGAGGGTTTTGTTATCTGCAGCCCAAATGGTGCTGGTGGCCCTTCCTCACCTCTGGAGGATGGGGCTCAGCCCCTGTCTAAGCAGATCTCCCCCCCACCGGTTTGGCCTCTCTCCTTGCCCCCCCTCTGGCCGAGGCTCCTCCTCTGGCCCTCAGGACTGCCAGCAGGTCCCCACGTGAGCCAGCCCGCCGGCCGGCTGCCCTTTCCTGCCCAGGTGCTGCACCTGAAGGATCACACCTGCTGCCTTCCTGAGCTGGGACCCCCTTCGGTCTTGGTCCAGGTTGGGGGTCCAGAGGGAGGGCCGGAGCCCCCGCCGAGCGAGCGTGGCTCTCCCTCTCCCACCGGAGGCACGTGGGCCGGCCTGTCCTCAGCAGGGCTCCTCGTATCCCCTCCAGAGGCTGGGAAACCCGCTCTCTTGGGCCAACCGAGAGCATTTGCTTTTTCTGCCCATCCCGGCTGAGTTGTGGGTCCCCAGGAGGCACCTCCCCACCCTCTCTGTTCCTCCCCGAGCTCGGTGTCTCAGCTAATTCTATTAAGCTCAGGCCCAAGCAATCATAATAAGGGGATCCATTTCTTGGGGGGGGGGGTAAAGGGCGGCAGGTTTATTCAGATAAGTGTGCCCTCGGGTGCCCAGCAGGGTGGGGACCTGAGATCAACAGGGTTAAAGTTTTTATACAGTTCCAAAAAGGAAACAAAAGTCCTGTAGGCAGCAGTTCCTTGGCCCTTGTGGACTATGTGCATTGGTTACAATTTCTTGCCTCTCAGCAAAGCAGTTACAGTGGTTTCTCACGTGCAGAGCAGCTGATCTCCAAGGAATGCTGAGTCTTCCTTACAAAGCCCTTCTTCTTCTTCTTGTTCTTCTTTGGCTCTTACTCCGCCTTGGGATGGCCCTTCAGTGGCTAAATGTTTTGCACTTTGACCTCCCGTCTCTGCAGGTCTCTCCTCCACCTGAAGATGTTCGGGCTGTCCGGAGAGGAGAACATTTACAACCTGCTGCCCTCGGGAGAGAAACAACCCACCAAGTCACCCAGGTGTGGGGCCAGGGGTGGAGGTGGGGGAACAGGGGGGAGAAATAACCACACAGGGAGCCATTTTGGCCAAGCACAGCGCTCGGCCAGCGTTCACAAATGTCTCTCCTCACTCGAAAGCCCCCATCTCTCAACCGCGGGGAAAGATCACTCCATTGCAAGCTGCCGGAGCAGCTCTGACCGTTTTGCGCCAAACATTTTGGCCACCAAGATTTCCACATGTGCAGTCCTCGAGTCGCGCCCTTCCTTTAGAAATGGGCGGTGGTGGGGTATACGACTCAACTCGATTCAGAAATAAGTTCAGGCAGTCCATAAAACAAAAGAGTCAAGAGTCAAGTGCATCTCATCTGGCCCCATTTTCTGGCTCTCTGCTTCCTCCCTTGCACCTAAATTTTAATCCTGATGATGACTTCTGGAGAACCTGAAAGCATTCCTGGATATAACTTTTAAAGTAATCCAGTAAAAGTACTACTCAGCCCAGGAAAACATCCGGTCCCTGGCATTGCCAGGCGAGGCTGGGAAAGGCGGCTGCTTCAAACCTTGGAGAGCTGTTGACAATCACAAAAGACAAGGCTGGGTGAGGCAGACCCAGGATGAGTCGTATACTCAGTTTTAGGTAGATTCCTATAGCATCGTCTACAATCATCAGATGCGCCAGAAGCAGCCACATGCTTTGTGCCAGTTTCTGGGAAAGTGGGGTGTGTGTGTGAGGGGGGGCGGGCTCTGCTCTTCTCCTGCTGTCCCACGGGGGCATCTGGTCGGTCACTGTGAGAATGACACGGTGGCAGACGGGACACGACAGGCTCACGGTATTCTTCCTTAATTTGGAAGGCTGTGCCTTCCTTCGGAAAGGTAAGTATTGTTTCCATTTCTTGAAGGTATATATCAGTATTCCAGCCCTTTGTAAAACGAGAAATAGAAGAGAGGAAGACGCATCCCTGCAAGACGATGGGAATTCCTAAGCTCCAGGTCCCCACTCCCCAAGATTTCCTCCGGAAACATGCCAAGGAACCCAAGCTTCCGAAACGTACGTTTTCAGGCTAACTGTATTCCGTGCCGGGGAGCTGTGTGCCCACCGGTAGGGAAGCGCTCTATAAAAGGTCACCCGTCACCCCTTCAGGGTGTTCTCCTTTTACACCTGAGCCACAGCAGTTCAGCCAACCCAATGGACCAGACCAGGCCTAGCAGACGCCCTGCTTTCTTATGGGGCGGCCTTTCTGCCATTCCTGGTGTGAGCCCCACGGAGGGAGGGCCGCTCTCACATGTTTTGGAGTTATTCTGCAGTTTATAAAGATATCTTCTTATGGACATGTAAGGTTCAGCAGGAGAACAGATCTGGCTGCTGGCTGCTGGCCATGCCCAGCCCCTGAAAGGGCAGAAGCACAAATCCTGTGGAGCCTTTATGTTGTCATAATGCAGTTGGCATAGATCTCCATGGCAAAGTGCCGCGAGTTAAGAGGTCAGCCAAGCCGTGCCATTCAGCCTGCAACTGCCAGTGGCTGGGCCACCTTCTTGACTGGCAGCAATTTGACAATGGGACAGAAGGCCAGTGGTGTGAGGCTGGCAGCTGCCACTCCCTGGGCTTTGGGGCAGCATGCAGCATTTCAGCATCCGTGGAAGGTCTCTGCATTTTGGGAAGGTGTGTCGTGATCATTGTCCAGCAAGACTAACAGCAAATGTTCGAAACCACAAAATTCCACTTCAAAATCATGAGATGGATGAACAAAACAAAACACACTTCAGGTTAAATGTAACACCATTAAACTGCACAGAGTGCTCGTTTCACGACCTTTGACGTATGGCTGGAACTCGTACAGTCTAGTGAAACAGTGCAATCACATAAAAATGGTGGGGCTCGCCAGGATTTTCCCAAGGAAAAAAATGGCAGAAGCCACCTTGTGGCAATACCTTTCCTTGCTCTTACTGTGATGACGAGAAGGCACCAAGAAGTGTCTCGCCCTTTAGGGTTTCCAGGTGGCTTCGTCAGAGAAGGAGGCACAGCAGAGCCGGGAGGGACGGTTGTCGAAAAGCGCTGGGTGTTTATTCCATTTATTCTCAAATGGAATAAAGGCGCTGAGTTTGCGCAGGCGTACAGGTGGGGTTAATCATGTGACAGGACCGTCTTGGGTTGCACCCAGGCTCCTCTGGGACAGCTGGGAGCTAGGAGGCAGTCGGGGGGGGCGACTCCCCCTTTTGAAAACAGCCACGGGCCGTGTTCTTTCAGAAGTCACTCCCACCAAGGCCAACGCATCTGAATCCTAGAATATTTGCTTGAGGAAGGTTGCCGTTTCAGGGGCCCAGTTCTGACCCCTCTTGTTTCCAGTGAGGTTTCATTGTGTTGGAGCAGAGCATCCTCTCTGGAAGGGAGGAGAGAACTCCCTTCTCCGGCCGACAGCAGCCGGTCACTGTGACGCCACTCTCAGGAGAGAGAGGGAGGGAGAGAGTCGGGGCAGCCTCTCCATGACCTTGGCCAGAGTGCCCTTCCCTCAGGTCTGCAGGGGGGCCACAGGGAGGGTGGAGGGTGCCTGACCGAGGCAGGCCCTCCAGGACCAAAGCGCTCGGGGAGCATCCCGGGTGAGGAGGAAAGGCACGGAGGGGAAAGGCCGGGGAAGAAAGATGATTGTTGGAGCAATGGCGGTGGTTCGGTTCTCGGCAAGAGAGGCCATTGTCTACAAGTCTTGGCTCTAATTTGGGTCTCTTCTCGCTAAGAGGCCAGACTGAGCCGCCTCACTGCAATTTGTACGGCTTTTAAAAACCAAACAGGAAAGAAAGGCCAAAGTGCCAAGAAGCCGCCCGAGCTGAACGTGCCCAAGAGGACCGACCGCCCTGTCATGGGCATCTGGAGCCAGAAGGATTTCATCGCCACCAACATCGCCGAGGCCATCGTGGGGGTCCCCAAGAAGCCCACCCACGCCTGCGTCGACGTGCGGAAGGGCGACAAGTTTCTGGTGGAAAATTCAGGGCTTGTTAAAAAATACCTCAAGAAAAAGGTGCGTTTTGCTGAACGGTACTAATGTTAACCAAGCTCTCGGAAATGGATTATTACCATCACTGTTGCTCCTTAAAGCCATCGGGGTTAGCAACCCACGCAATGAATCTATGCGAGATGCCCGGTGTCCATTAACTGCTTAATTGGTTAAGCTACTGATAGAATGTTGCATGGCTTGTAGGAATAAAGGGTAAGGATTGTGCACCTTCGCCAGAGACATTTTGGCAAGAGGATGGGGCTCCAGAAACGTGTCGGTATATTGCAAGAGGTAACATTCCACCCACTGTGGGTTAATATCCTCAAAGACCCCACCTGCCCCTTACAATCAAGGAGGCTCTATAAAGCTTTGTCTCTTCCCCCCCACCCCTTTTCGCCCTTCCATGGTGCTCACTGACCAAGCGAGGCAGAGACCGTGTGTGCTTGCCTGAGTTTGCAGGCGTTGCCTGACCTGCCACTGCCTTTAGTTCCCTTTACTGTTTGGTACGTTCTGTAATGTAGTTTTAGTACCTTTCTTGTTTTCTTAGGATGCCCTGTTTACCCTTTTCCTAAGAGAACCAGATAAAGATTATTATTTATCTTTTGTCTCAGTGTCTCAAACCTTTTTTTCCCAACAAAATGGAGGAAACATTTTATATCTCCAAATGATCTTGGTGGAGGCGGGGGTGGGGGGGAAGACATTTTGTTTAATCAGATTGTTTATGACATATATGTTGTCCTGTATCATTACGTTTTTCACATATGCATTTTCTTTTTCATATTTATTTTCTTTTTGTATAAATAAAACACACCCACACCCACAAAGATAAAATGTTGCATGTTACAGTATGTGGCAGCAAGTGGGTTCTAGCTTAACAGCGCTCCTAGTAGGGATGCTCAGCTATGCGAGACAGTGAAGGGGCTTTTTTTAAAAAACCCATGCCAGTCCTCTGTCGGTGTGTTTCAGAGGCTGACTGGAGGATTTGAACCCACATCCTTTGAGTTCTGGTCCATCATGCTGTTCACTCCTGGCTCTCTTGAAGAAATAATTTCCCTTTCTCAAAACCAAGAAATTAGCCAGTGATTTCTGGGTGACTTTTGCTGCCTCACCTGCAGGACAAAGAGAGGCCAACCTGGCCAAACGTAGCATGCTCCCTGCAGGAAATACTTTGGGCTATAAAATGATTTTTTGTTTTGTTTTGTCTTGGATAGGATTTTGGTGTTACACCAAGATACATAAAGAAGCGAAACCAGGAAGCCAAACGAGCCCAAGAGGAGAGGGACGCCGGCCGGGAGGAGACCCTGGGCGGGAGAGGCCTGACCCGGCTGGCCCGAGAAGAGAGGGAAGCCGTGCTGGAGGTAGGTGGGCAGGCGGGCAGCCAGAAGGACGGGCAAAGCCTTCATGTTTGGGAGGAAAAAAAAAGAGTGAGCGAGCGAGGATGAGCGTTTTGTTCTGGCAACCCACCCAAGGCGAGCTGGATGGCTTCTCCCTCGGTGGCATTGACCGGACCCCGCCAGGTTTCCTCCACGTCCACTTCCAGGCAGGAGGCTCTGGATGGCCCAGAAACGCTTGTTTTTGGGCGGCCACCCTAGGGAAGCCTGGCTTTGCTGTCCGTTCTTCCGATGGGATTTCTCGCCCAATATCCAAATACCTGTCCAGGCCTCAGGAAAGGGAAGAGGCGCTTTGTCCGGCGTCAGCTGCTGGAATCCACCTTGGGGAGGGGGTTCTGGGCATCCCAGCAGAAAAGAAACAAACTTCCCCAAGCGCTATAAGGCCCCCCCTCCGCTGCCCCCCCTAGACACCATTTTCTCGCCAGGCTTTGTCCCCTCTTGTGATTCTTCCCTCCCTTCCCGAGGAGCAGGTCGCCGTCCCGGAGGAGGCAGCGGCTTCCTTCCGGAGGCGACATTAACCTTGTCTTTGCCTGGAATTGCAACAGGGCCTTAAGAAAAACTGGGAGGAGATCCATAAGGAATACCAGAGCATGTCCCTGCTGGTGGACACCGTTCCCCGGAAGCTGCACCAAGAGAAGCTGGAGGTGCAGATGAAGCAGCTGGAGCACGACATCGGCGCCCTGGAGAAACACCGTCTCGTCTACATTGCAGACTAGTCGGGACCTGCCCTCGGTGTGTCCCGGGCCTGAGCCGGGCGAGCGCAAACCTTGGCAGGCCTCCCTGGGGTCCCGGAGTGGAAAGCCCCCTGCCGCCCCTCAGGTCCCTCCCGTGGAAGCCAAGGAGGTGTCAGAGAGGCTTCAACCCGGGGGGGGGGGAGGGAAGGGTCTCCAGGTGCCTCCTTGTCTGTTTGTTCTACAACTAGTGAGACGTTCCTCTGTTTCCTGTAGCAGGCAAACAGCAACCTGTGACACCCCATTAACACTCCCAACCTGGCTGAACCCCAACACTCGTCATCACGCCCCCCACCCCCCTACCCTGGAGGAGGTGTGCTGTTTAGGCTGAAAGAGATCAGAAGGCCACTCTTTCCCCACCTTGGTTCTTTGAGACAGTATAAATAATAAATTGGTTAAACACTAGGGGAAAAACAGATATTTTAGCAAGTCCCTTAAACTAAGCATTGAATAGTGTTACGTTTTGGTTTTAAGAACTGTATATAATAAATCTAGTTTGGGCTATTTTCTTTTTCCCCCTTTTTTTGTATTCTGTTGTAGTTTGTTTTAATAAAAATAAATATATGAAAAATAAATAAATCCAGTTTAATTCCTAAACAAATCTCCGCATTGTTTATATTTACAAATTGTGCTGCTTCTATACCGCCGCGTAGCACTTCAAGCACTCTCCAGGCAGTTTACAATTTACTGTAATTATGCAGGTTACACCCCCCCCCCCCCCCCCATCAGTGAGCTGGGTTACTCAGTTTATCAACCTTGGAAGGGCTGAGTCAACCTTGATCCGGCTACCTGGGATTGAACCCCAGGTTGTGAGCACAGTTTTGGCTGAAGGACAGCCGTTTAACCCTTGCATTACAAGGCTCCATTTATCACCTTTGTATTCATTTATCCTATGAGACTAAGGCTCCTTCGAGGCTGGCGTGTGCTCGCAGACGCATCTCTGCCTCCCTGCGCACAGCTGTCTCCCTCCTCTGCGCAGCAACTGCATTAGGTTCTGGTTGCGACAGAACCCGACGCACGCAAGGGGCTAAGTTGCGAGAGAGTGCGAGGAGCGGAGAGCGGGGCTGAGAATCTTGCTTGAGGCAAGGCCAAGAATAAATTAAAACCTCAAAACCGTGGGAACCTGAACATTATTTACTCTCTTAGCATTTCGGTGCACCCTAAATGGTTTCGGCTTTTGTAACATTCATGTTATTCTAGTGGATTTGCAGACCCACAGCCAGGAACTCCCCTTGTCAAGAGTGAACAGTGAGAACTGGAAGCCAGCTCTGTTGGGCCATCTCTACCCCAGCAGCGAGGCCACTCATGACGACAAACCTGG